CTCTCTCTCAACTCAATGAATACTGAATCGATAACGTTGGAAATGATACTACAATGATAATGAATTTATTAAAATAATCTCCTAGCTTATTTATTTTTTTAAAAAAATAATAAAAATTTTCAGCTATCTTTCATTGATACGTCACATATGTTGATATTAACATAATTGCAAAATAAAATTTATCTTAAGGATGTTACTAAAATATACATAGTAGTGACATCTTACAATCGTACAGAATTGTATATGTATCGTTAATTTCAAAACACAGGTTATTTCTCAAAAGTTGAGGTCCTCACGATCGCAAAATGGCACGCGGATAGTAAGAATTATTAAGAAATATAATAAAAAATATTCACGGCGAACGATCGTACCGAGTAACGATGGCGTCGGCTTATATTAAAGATGAACAAGGTGATCAATTTTGTTCCATTCGATCATTGGATTTATTTTAGTTGTTGCATTATTTATAACCTGTAACATGTAAACAACCTTTATTTCACAAAATTCTAGTCAAGTTCTGATGTTCATTTTTCATAAAATTATTAATAAATATTAAAAATACTTTATAAAATAAAATAAAATATAGGTGCTGTCTTAGATGAAATTCGGTGAAACTAATATAACAAAGATGATTAAAAAATATGCTTATATTAATTCATAAAGTTCATTTTTTTATAATAAATTTTGTTATAGGTGGAACATTTATCCCAGCCAGTCAACGTCCAGATGGTACATGGCGTAAGCCACGCCGTGTGAAAGATGGTTATATACCACAAGAAGAAGTTCCATTGTATGTAATAATTTATAAGAATATTATTAAACCTTTTTATATAATATTACTATCGTTGGCATTTTCTTTTAGATATGAAAGCAAAGGTAAACAGATAAAGAATAAACCTATGTATCCAATAGGTGCAAGTCCAGAATTCATAGCAGAGCATAAAGCTAAACAAGAAGCATTATTAGCAGCAAAGTCTAAAACTGTGCCTGGTGCTCAAATTAAAACAGAAGTTAGAAAGAAAAAGAAAAAGAATAAAAACAAAACAACTGAACGTGTAACAGAAGAACTGGCTAAAACTACACTCTCTGAACCAAATCAAAAGAAAGGATCATTATCGCAGAATGCTAAACCACAAACTAATATAAAAACTAGTAATCAGACTTCAGCACCTAAACTAAATGTTTCAACACATTCTGAAGCTTCTACACCAGATCCACAAAAGAGATTGAAAAATCTAAGAAAAAAGATCAGAGAAATTGAAACATTGGAACAAAAGATAAAAAATGGATTGTTAAAAAATCCAGAGAAAGAAATACTTGATAAGTTGGCAAGAAAAATTGAAATTTCGAAAGAAATAAAACGATTAGAAGCAAGTCAATAGAAAAAGGAAGTCAAAGAAAAATATATTTACATACTTTCATGAAATATCACTTTATAGTTGTACCTAAACAAATGTGTGTTCTTCAAATTTTTAAAAATTTTCACATGATTTTAATTTGATGTAATATCACAGTTTCATCCCCTTTATACAGTAAATAAATAGCAATATAAAGATGTACATTTATATACAGAGGATAAAAATTAAATACAATGAGAATTTAGTATGCTATAACATCACTATGTGAAAGACCAATCAGATTTAATAAAAATTGTTTTTGCATATTATATGTTGTTATTTATATCATCAGAAATAAATATTATGACTATTGTAATGAACTTCATTTATATTTCTTAAAATCCTAACAAATTTAATGAAACTTCAAGTACTAGGGATTTTGTATGCTGGACACACTGACTAGCTTTATTTTCTCAACAGCTGCTGAAATTCCTATACTGCATATTCTGTGTTTGCAGTTTGCTGTATACAATCGTGTTTAGTGTACTTTATGTGAAAAATGAAAAAGATTCATGTAATTACTTCAGTAACTTCGATACAGTTTCGTAGATGGAAGTTTATAATTTTTATTTAGTACCACACTATGTACAATTAAGATGATATTTAGTGGAATTCGAATAATAGAGAGATTAAAACGCAGATTAAAAGGAACGGTTGACGATTGACTACCGATGGATAAATAACTAATGAGATCAGACTAATTAAAATTCGATGCCTCTCGGCAATAAACCCGAATGTGTCAAGTGTGGGACTCGAGAAACCCCGCTTTGGCATTCAACCGAAACTGGTAATCTTTGTAATGATTGTCTTGAAGAAGAGAGAAATTCTGAAGCGACTTCAAACGTAAAAAATGAAGATGAAGATAAAGCAGGATCGTTAAAACCTACTAGAAGAAGTACAAGGATTACAAGATATTGCAATTCTAAATCAGTTCCACACAAGATTATACCTAAAGGAAAAGGAAGAAGAAATTTATTCAAAAGAACTGTATGTTCTTTGATTTTCTGATTATTGCAAATAGTCAAAAACAAATCATTGTGTAATTTTTTTCTTTTTTTTTTTTTGCTTTTAGCCAGTCAAAGCACCAACAGCCACAGCAACTCCAGTTACTAGCAATTATGTATTTTATAAGGGCACATATTTTCAAGTAGGTGACATAGTTTCTATGCAAGATATTGATGGAGGAATTTATTATGCTCAAATTCGTGGTTTACTCACAGATCAATACTGTGAAAAAAGTGCAGCTGTTACTTGGCTTTTGCCTACTACAGCAAGGTAGATATTAAAATCAAAATATGTAGTGATTTATTTATTGGCTTTAATATACCAAAATTAATAAAGTTATGTATTTTATTTAGTCCACCACCTGATGAAGGATTTAGTCCTGAGACATATATTATAGGACCAGAAGAAGATCTGCCACGTAAATTAGAATGTATGGAATTTGTAATGCATGCTCCATCAGATTATTATAAATTAAAAAATACACCATATCCACCACCACTCACAGAAAGAGGTACTGGATATATATGGACTACACTTGGAAATGAAATTGCTACATGTAAAAAATGAACGTTTATTTTTTAAGTTATTATAAAATTTTTTACGTTAATATTTTAGTTTATTTACCTGGTGTATAAGGATAAAACAAAATAACTACAGTATATTTATAACTGTTCAAATTTTTAAAAAATAAAAATTATCATGAATATATATTATTGTAATATTTATTACGCTGTTTGATACAATATAACATTATCATTTAATATTATTTTTAAAAATAATTAGATTGAAGTGCTCAGAAATGATAGCATTAAATACACTGCTTTAGAGATAATAAAAATGCAATTTCATTAATATTACATGAGGCTATGTAGGAATGATAATACAACCTCTGTAAAATATAGTTCAGTATGTCTAAATTTATAAAATTACCTTTTTTCATGTATCGAATATTATATTTTCAATATTCCAAAAATCCTTGTAGTTAAAGTCAGATATAAACAATTTTTGAATTTCATAATATAAATCCTTCTTCAAAAATCTTCATTGTTCAATTCTGATACTCTTGTGAGACATATGAAGAATTTGTGGAGAGTATTGGTGCATTTTCATTTACTCGAGGGGAGGGGAAAAAAATCCTTGTAGTATCACTTGCATTTGGAATTGTAGTTGAAACCAGTCAGCTTGGAGCCAACGAAGTAACGGCTGGTCAGAATTTGAGATCTTTTATAGCTTGTGGTAAATCAGGCAACTTCATCTCCTTTATCTGTTGTGGTATGTTCATATTCTTGACAGCAGAAACAGCACGCGCCGGCGCTGCTGTGATTCCTGCCTGCACATACCATATGGGTGGAAAAAAATGGAAAACGGAAAAAATAAAGGATTTTTGAACTTAAATTAATTAATAGAAGTAAATACAAATGAATAGCTACGCAGTACACATTTTATTCTTAGAGCATGGCGACGTATACATTTGCATTAAGGCACTATTACCGAGCAGACATTTACAAACTTAGCACCATCATGCGTGTTATGAGTATTTATTTTTGTAAAAGCAACGAAAGATTTATGTTTTGAAATTCTTGGTGGAAAAAAAAAAGGAATGAATGTGTACAAAATGATCTGATTTTTTACTGCCGATTTACTTAGGGAGGGGGCCCCAGAAGGACAAACGGACGAGGTGAGCAAGATCGTCCTGATTTGTAAGTTCCCTAAAATTCATGTTAGGTCAATCAGTTCTACCACCATATGAAACTGCACTACAAAACATTCCGATGCATGCACAGCTAATGAATAAACTGCAATAGGCTTATTAACTTCTTCAAGCCCAGAAGACTTTTTTATAAGAAATTGAATTCCTTTTTCTTTATTACTTTATCTTATTACTTCAAAAATTTCAAGACTATAAAATTTCATTGGGCCCAAAAAGTTAAGGGATGTTTGCATAAATTAGTCATTACAACTGTGATTTAATAATTTAAACTTTATCACAGTGCACTGCTATATTATATACAAAATTTGTTATCTTTAATATTCATGAATTATATAAGTAAAGCTTAAACGTACAACACATATTGATATTTCTTAAATACCAATTATAAAAATTACTTACCTCTTGTTTTTCCAATTTATTTTGATCTTCAATTCTTGTAAGTATCTCAGTCATATTGGTCTCCAAAACCATTCCACCCATCACTAATTCATTAAGTATATAATGAACTTTATCAACATGAAAGATAAGGTCGAGTTCACATACATTCTCAAAACATTTATCCAATGTTTCAACAAAAACTTGTATTAAATCTAAAATTCCCAACTCTGATTCTGAGCTATCAACACAGAATACAAAAAATAATGTAGCATAATGTCGATAAATCAACTTGTAGTCGGATCCACCGATTAAACTTCCACCTTCTAAAAAATTACAAACATTATCGTCTCTCTTTGAGACTAATTGAAATGTTTCTTTTATTATCTGTTGTTGCATGTCCTCATTCTGAAGAAAAAAAGACACAGTTTATTAAATTTTATAGAAGTTTGTAATTATAATACTTACAAAAGTTATTGTTATACTTACAAAATACTGATAGAATTTAGAAAGTCTAGGCTTTCCATGATTATTAAATACTAAAATAGCTTTAATCATGATTTACAATCAATTAAAAAAATAAAATCTAATTTTATTCTTGAGAAAAACAAACGTTCTTTTCATTTATAGAGGTTAATTTCAAACGTCAAAAATATACTTTAGAAAAATTACTTTCTTCCCTTTAATATTTTATTATCAAAGAAATTCATAACAAATATCTAATTTGAAGAAATAAACATTTACTTAAAATTTAAGCAAATAAATATTTCATTTTGCAGCTGTCGCTGTTATGCATTTTTTTTCTTTCATCTTTTTTAATCTGTCTATTACACGTGACCTTAACGAGCAATTAGTATAATGATTTATACAATAATTTTCAAAATATCTTGAAAATTATGAACAATTAAATATAATTAACCAAAGTCACAAAAGAAAGAAACTTTTCTATGCAAATATTCCTAATATTCATGCAAACACTACACCATGAACGAAGTATAGAATAGATGTATCACTCAACAAAATTTTTGATTGAACGTTTCTTCATTACCGATTACACATGTTTCAAACCAATTTCAGGATAATATTATCTTAGTTAACAATATAATTAATTATAGGACCAATTTATATTTTATAACTTTAATATAAATTTATAAAATCCAAAGATATTAATATGCCATATTCTTTAATATTTCGTCTTTGAAGAATATACCTCGCGCAATCGCAGCCAATTAGCTTATATTATTTATTACACAATTTATAATTGTATCACATATAGTGATGCAATTAGTAATTATATAAATAATACAATTATCCAGGTCTCACCACGTGGAGGTGCTGCGAATGGAGACCCTCCCTAACCACGGTCCCATCCACCCTCCATTTACGCGAAAAATTTACTCATATATATAAAAATGATTAAACAAATTCTCCTTTTGGCATTCGTTTGTAAAACGTTCAATCCTTTGACCATTTTACAAAACAAATAGCAGAAGGAATTTTAACTAAGACCGACGCGAAAATCTAAGACTTAAAATAATATTTAAATTTTAAACTAAGATTACAATTCTATATGAAATAATATTATATTATTTATCTACTTTATATCTACTTATTTACTTAAATAGCAGTATTTAAGCATGCATTTAATTACTATGACATTAATATACTTATTAAGCACAAATTAACAATAAGCGAAAAAGCATGTATTAAGCAATGTATCTACTTTTATTAACATACTTATATTTAAATACAATACAGGTATGGGAAAGGGACAATGAGTATCCTATGAAATATATCTTTCAGAATTTATCTACTCTAGCTATCTCTATTTATAGAAAAGAATAAGGTCTGAGTAAAGTATGATATGAAATCTGAATCCTCTGTTGATGAAATGATGACTCTTCCGTTGATGAAAATATAAGTCTTCTATTGATGAAATGATGAGTCTTCTGTTGGTGTCATAGTAGTTTCTGAAACAAATCTTAAGAACACAAATTTAGTAAAATTCTGCAAGATGTTTAATTAATAATTACCAATAAGGAGGGATTCTCTTATATTTATTTCTATTCCTTCAATCACTTTCTTTGATCCTTACTATTCCATTTCATTCCATTTTGAATTATCATCTATAAGTATCTTGATCATTTAATATTTATACATATGTATATTTGGACAAATAATGAATCTTCTATTGATGTCATAATAGTTTCTGAAACAAATCTTAAGAACACAAAAATTAGTAAAATTCTGCAAAATGTTTAATTACTAATTACCAATAAGGAAGGATTCTCTTATATTTATTTCTACTCCTTCAATCATTTTCTTTGATCCATTTCATTCCATTTTAAATTATCATGTATAAGTATCTCATTCATTTTCTATTTATACATATGTATATTTGGGCAATTCTTTCAATAAGTTAATAGATCTGTAACAAACTTATATATTGGATTAGTATTTTAAAAAACGGGCTGACTGAAAATCATATTAAACACAATAATATCTGATAATGAACATTTACCAATATGATTCTAAAAAAGGGACAATTAAATTATTGAATTATTAAATTACAAATAAAAATATTATTTTTTCAAATATTATTGATTTGTGATTAATAAATTTCGAAATTGTATTATTCAAATATTTCATCTTTAAATATTCCAAATATTTTATCTTTTTATCAATAACATATGAAATTATTTACAGGAATCATTCCAAAATTATAACAATTATAAATAATACTATAGAAAAACATTCTTATTAAAAAACAGATATATTTATAGTAGTATGTTCCATACTAGACACTTTGGCAGTAAGAAGTGTTGAAAAAGAAAGTAAAGTAGCCAGAAGGGTTACTAAAATATAATCAATATCCACTCAATATAAATCCGAACAATGAACCGAGAGTGGATTGTCTTTTCAGTTTTGGAACACTAATTTATTGAAATTAGACATAAAATGGAGGATTCTTGAAAAAAAAAAAATCAAGATCAAACAAATCCTCCTTTTGATGTTACGTTTACAAAACGATCGAGTTTTGATCGTTACATAAAACAAACAGCAAAAGGAATTATAAGTAAAACCGACGCGAAATGCTGGAGCTGAAACCTATAAAAAAGAAGCTAAACAAACCGTAATGCAATTGTATGATTCCAAAAAAAGACTATTTACTTTCAATCTTTTATATTTTCATCACCGTGAAAAAGTAAAATAAACCAAATTTTTAAGATTTAAAAAGAGGGGAAAAAAAAACTCGAAATGTGTCTCACAAAGAAATGAAATTTAATATATATTATTCATATATTACTCAAGAAATTTTATGATTCATTAATGTAATATTAGACACTAATAAAGACAAACAATGAAGAAACATATCGCAACACTATTTCAAACCGAATTTAATATCTTTTCGCTACTTTAATTAAATCCGAAATTAACAATCATTCGCAACACTAATTCAAATTCCGAGATTGGGATTATATGGCAACATTAATTCCAAAATCGCGAAATTTAGGCTACATTGCAACACTAATTCAAACTGATACTGATCATTCGCAACACTATTAAATTTGACAACTGTGATGATGTGCCGAGCTGTACATCGGCCAGAAAAAAAAATACAAAAAGCAAGAAAAAAGGCGAACATAGTGACAAAGCAGTAACAAAAATGACTTCCCATTCTTTGGATAATCCAGAAAATGGGAAGCCATTAATAGTTGCCCTCTTCTACGGCAATTTGCCGGGCCTCTTCGGCTTCTAGCCACTTCTTCCTTCGAGCGCAATGCCCGCTGAAACTTACATCTAGCTCGAGTCTTTCTAATCGCAAACTAAAAAACAACTTATAAAGGTGAAATGAAAAGATAAATCGCGAAAGCTGATCCCACTACACATGGACGACCATCGATCATAATGATCGTTGTCCGTTCGTATGTGCGTGCTCGAGCAACCTA